GTGACGTCCTGGGAGGACAGAACACGACGAGAGGAGGGGTGGTAGAACTGCCACCCTGGAGCGTCAGGGGGGAAGCCAAGGAAGACACAGGGAGCAGCACGGGGGGACAGCTTGTCCGCAGACAAGTCGCGGACAAACGCCCGAGATCCCTAGACACGGAACGCAGACGCATCGCCGACCTTCCCCGTCCACAGTAACACTGGGGACATATCGGGCCGAGAGACTCTGGGGTGAAGGTTGAGCTGATGCGCCGCGTACCGAACCGCAAACGGCCACAGAAAATGGGGGGCAGCCGCATGCATCATGGACGTACGAGCGACATCCATGACCATGCCAATGCGGCGCTCAGCAATCCCATTTTGCTGTGGAGAGTCCGGAAGCGTAAAGGTCTGGCGGATCCCCTGTGCACGACAGTAGTCTCGCAGAAGGCGAGAGGAGAACTCCCCACCTCGGTCAGAGTGCAGACGCAGAACAGGAAAGTCCGAGCCGAAGCTCCTCCTGAGCTGGAGACGAGTCTCGCGGATCCAGTCGATCAGCACCTCAGTGACAGCACCCTTGCTGCGCAAGGGGAAGACTGAGGTGTAACGCGAGTAGTCGTCAACCACCAACAGGAAGTAGCGCTCGTGACCCTGCCCACGGACGGGGGCCGGGCCCCACACGTCCATGTGAAGCGTCTGCAGAGGAGCCTCTGTCGGGGGAAAGTGGGAGGAGTGAGGAGCAGCCCTGAGGCGCCCCTCGACACAGGGGACACAGGAAGGTCCTGGTCCCGAAGGAAGGGGAGGGAGAGACTGGGGAAGACCAGAGACAAGGACACGGGAAGCCATGCCCTGAAGACGGGGCAAGGAGGGGTGGCCTAGACGGTGGTGCCACAGAAGAGTCTCGTGAGACAGGAGGCGACACGAACAGGGGGCAGACTCAGGACCAGACCTGGACGCAGCAGCAAACACCTGACCCGACGCTGCTACTTGACCGGACGCGGGGACAGGAGGAGACTCAGTGGTCAGGGTGTAGAGGCTCGACCCCGGCCGACGCGAGAACGTGGCCAGGTGCCGGCCTGTGCGTGCGTCCGTGCAGTGGGTCACCCGCTGACTCGCAGGAGTGAACTGGTGAACCCCCGCATCCTGTAGGTCTGCACCACTCACCAAGTTCGTCGAGAACGAGGGGAGGTACAGGCCAGACAGGGTGCCCGAGGGGGCAGCCGGACACGGGAGGACAGTGGAAAAGTGAGCGAGGACAGGACCCCCAGAGGGGTCAGCCAGGGAGACTGCAACCGGCCGACCAAGCGGCGTGAGTGTGGTGCGGTCTCGAAAGAAGGAGCGAGAATCCCCAGAGTCAAGTGTAAAGGTGAGGGAGGCCGAAGCCAACGCGGTACCTGAGAGCGCAGCCTCACCCGCACCTGAGGAAGCAGACTCACTAGCACCTAGAGCAGCAGCCGCACCTGTACCTGGAGCAGGAGACTCACGAGCACCCAGAGCAGCAGCCTCACCAGTAGCTAGAGCAGCAGGTCCTATACCTGGGTCAGGCGGGACGCACAGGTGACCGGCACGGTCAGCACTAGTAGGCAATGCATACATGGCAGTGAGAATAGCATCATAGTCAAGAGCATATATATCGACCCTCTGCCTAAGCAACTCCACCCAGTCGGGAAGCTCAGCCTCGTCGCCAAACACGGTACGCCAGGCGTCGCTCAGACGGGCGAAGCAGCGAGACGGTGTATGACTACGTGTCCCACAAGGCTGACCAGTCCGAGTACCAGTGCGTATCACGTAAGAGCAGCGAACAGCACTGAGAGACCCTCCACTCTGAGCGTACCACTCACGAAGCTGGCGAGGCGTGAGAGACACGCGAGAGGGTCGGGGGAGCTGCATCTGGCCGCCACCACGAGTAGAAGCAGCAGGAAGGCAGGCAGCCAGGCAAGCCAAAAGGCAGGCAGGCAGGCAAGCAGGCGACGCGCAGCGTGCTAGCAGGGCAAGAGCTCACCAGTGGTGGGAAGAGTAGGCTCGGCGACTCAGCGGCTCGGCAGCTCGGCGGCTCGGCGGCTCGGGCGACTCGGGCGGCTCGGCGGCAAGGCGGCTCGACAGCAACTGCAGCTCAGCAGCTCGGTGACTCGGCGGCTCGGCGGCAGGGCGGCTCGGCAGCAACTGCAGCTCAGCAGCTCAGCGACCCGGCGGCTCGGCGGCAGGGCGGCTCGGCTGCTGGGCGGCTCGGGTGCAGGGCGGCTCAGCGGTGGGGGGGGCTCGGCTGCTGCAGGTGAGCGGCTCGGCTGCTGCAGTGGGAGATGAAGGAGGAGGAGAAGCAGGGGAGGCCACACACCTGCCACCCCTCCGCAAGCGGCCCCCTCAGGTCGCCTCGACAGGCGACGGGAAAAGGGGGGGGGGGGGGTGGGGGCCGGTAGGTGCAGCGGCGGGGCCAGCAGGTGCAGTTGCGGGGCCGGTAGAAGGGGACGGCAGGAGCCGTCAGGAGGGGACGGCGGGGCCGTCAGGAAGGGACGGCGGGGCCGTCACGAAGGGACGGCGGGGCCGTCAGGAGGCGACCGGGCCGCGAAGGGGCGGCTGGGCCGGGATGGGGCGGGGCCGCGACGGAGGCAGGCGGCGGGGCCGCGTAAGGGCCTGGGCGGGGCCGCGACAGAGCCGTCAGCGGGGCCGCGTGAAAGCCGGGGCGGGGCCGCGTAGAAGCCGGGGCGGGGCCGCGCGAGAGCAGGCGGCGGGGCCGCGAAGGAGCCGGGGCGGGGCCGCGTGAGAGCAGGCGGCGGGGCCGAGTAAGGGCCTGGGCGGGGCCGCGACAAAGCCGTCGGCGGGGCCGCGTGAAAGTCGGGGCGGGGCCGCGTAGAAGCCGGGGCGGGGCCGCGCGAGAGCAGGCGGCGGGGTCGCGAAGGAGCCGGGGCGGGGCCGCGTGAGAGCAGGCGGCGGGGCCGCGTAAAGGCCAGGGCGGGGCCGCGACAGAGCCGGCGGCGGGGCCGCGTGAAAGCCGGCGACGGGGCCGCGTAAGGGCCGGCGGAGGGGCCGCGTCAGTGAAGGCGGCGGGGCCGCAGGGGAAATGGCGACCCGAGGGGTCGCTAAAAAAAAAATCGCGCCTCGGGGGGCGCTTCGGTGGGCCCAAAAAAACGGTCCTTAGAAGGACCCGCTCTATACCATGTGATAATAAGCAAACAGGAATGAAATGACTAAGTCAGGGTTGGGTACAAATACAACCCTAGAAAGCTGTACCCCACATGTGCTACCCCACTATAGCCTACAAACATGCATCAGCTATAGTAATCTGACAACTACTGTACTTCAAATCCAAAACGTTTGGAGGCACGGATTGCAAATGTAGGCTCCGGCTTGAATCTACCCTAGAAACACCTAAGTATGTGTTCCTACGGCCTCATATCAGGCAACCTCGTATCAGATTCGCGTCGAACCACACTAAAACACATCCAACCGCAATCGAATACACTGATACGTATTTCACCATGCGAAACTGATACCGTAACTGTCAGTAGATCTGCACTGTGGATGCCCGATTGATCCTGGAGAGGGTTACAGGCGCGTTCGCCTTGGGGGTTATGGGCGCACTGACCCACTACTGAAACAAGCCCTTTTATCCCAATGGTCTAGTGGTTGGGATTCTGACATGGTATCAGAGCGGTCTCGAGTTCGATTCCCGGTGTATGCACATGTAGGCCATTGCCGCTGTGCTTAGTCCTGGGCCTCCCATTGTGGGGCGGTGTCAGTAGATCTGCACTGTGGATGCCCGATTGATCCTGGAGAGGGTTACAGGCGCGTTCGCCTAGGGGGTTATGGGCGCACTGACCCGCTACTGAAACAAACTCTTTTATCCCAATGGTCTAGTGGTTGGGATTCTGACAGTATCGTCCCGGATATAAGCGCAGGCCTATTAAAAGCGCATGCGCTTGTATCTGGAGCAATGCGCTTATGGCCGATCTTCAATTGTAAGCGCACCCCCTGTAAAACACTGTTTTATTATAAGTGCATGCATAATTTTTTATTTAAAACTTGCTAAACACAGTAACGAGTTTCAAAACTGAAGCGAGCCAAATTTCTTTATCGCTTCGTTTGATTCGCGAAGACCTCAAAAGCTGCGCGTCAGGTCAAGATGTGCTGGCATAGGGGCAAAGTGACGTGTCTTTGCCCCTGTCGGCGTGTCCCGAAAAAGTGTAAGCAGTTTCGGGACCCTGTTTACGTAAAACAGTGCGTACAGCTGCGCGGTACACACTCGTTCCAGGTACGTACAGATGGCTCCGAAATAGTCAGATTCGAAAAAGCTGACAGAGTCTCGCGGCTGTATTGTGCCGCGACCTGGTGTCCAGCTTTCGGCCTGTTACTAGGCCCACATTGCCGCGAATCCCATTTCCCTCGCAAAATGGGTATAACTTGTGGGGAAAACCCCCCATATTGACTGTCGCAGAGAAATTTGCGACAGCATGGAGTTCGCCCAAAGGAGATGCAGCGAATCTGGAGCTCTCGCTTTCTGTTCTTTCTGTTTCAGGTACGCTTTCTCTGAAGTCTGTACAAAGCGAAGTCCAAGTTGAGCATTGAGTCAGTGAATTTTTTACAGAGCTGCGCCGAGTCCAGACGAAAAGGTTGGCTTTGGCGAAGACCCAGTTTGTGGTTACTTTTCACCTAATGAAATGTGAGTGTAATTTCGGGACACGCCCTGTGTGTTGGAAAAAAATCGGTAGCGCGCGATTCTGATTCCTGGTGCTATAAAATTTCGCCTCGATTGGAATGGTACGACTAAGTTGTACATTTTGATGCTATAAAATTATATATCTGTATCTGTCATTATATAAGCGTTTGCGCTTATAAAAATGACTCAATTAGAAGCGCACCCCCCGAAAAAACTCTGCTTTATTATAAGAGCAGGTGCGCTTCTATCCGGGGTAATACGGTACGAGGTATGTCTGATACGAGGTGTAGGAACACGGCCTAAGAAACAACTAAAGCAACTATTAGGTGGACATCAGAGCCTTACTTGCAGGAGTACCTTGAAGCTGCTCACTGCTTAAGAGCTTCACACACCTGAAGCAATCGCGAACCAAGGAAAAAACAAGCAGAAATGGGCAGTGAGAAGTGATTGCGCACACAAAGCTCGCAGCCCAACCATACCAACTCTCCATGTAGACGTGCATGCTTCAAGTGCATCGAGTGTGCATAAGCTGTGGGTGCTTGGGCGGAGTAAGAGCGGGAGTGGCACAGGGACGAGAAGATACGTGGATAGGGGGAGGCAGCAGCTCACATCAATGGGCATTTCGTGCAGCAAGGTGCCCAGGGCGTCCTCTAGCGTGCGCACCACAGGCACCTCCCCACCCGTCACAAACAGCAGCGACATGCCCGCTGCACTGCTGCTGCTGCTGCTTGCAGTGGCCGTGGTGCTGGCAGAGGGTTCAGGGCGTTGCATGGCTGATGCTGCTGCTTGCCCCATGCACATGGCCACTCGCCTCAGGTACACGTCCTGCATGCAGGGGTTGCGGGTTGCAGGTGGGCGGATGGTGGGGGGGGGAAGGTGGGGTTGAAGAATAGTGGAGGGGTGGATGAGTGGGTCGGTGATGGGAGGAGTGGTGGAGTGGAGTGGGGTTGATGACTTCACAGCGAAAACAGATGAAGCTTTTCTTTGCCATGCCTTGTTGCGCAAGGAGGGATTGATGGAGGGAGGGAGGCAGGCAAGCAAGTAAGGAGGGAAAGGAGGGAGGGAGGGAGGGAGGGAGGGAGGGAGGGAGGGAGGGAGGGAGGGAGGGAGGGAGGGAGGGAGGGAGGGAGGGAGGGAGGGAGGGAGGGAGGGAGAGAGGGAGGGAGGGAGAGAGGGAGGGAGGGAGAGAGGGAGGGAGGGAGAGAGGGAGTGAGGGAGAGAGGGAGGGAGGGGGAAATGTAAGGTTGGACTGAGGGAGGCTGAGAGGCACATGCATGTAGCAAGTGGGTGGTTGAATGAATGGACGGATGGATGCATGGATGGAAGGAGGGAAGGATGGACGGACAGACGGATGGATGGAAGAAAATGCTTCGCCCCATATGCCGCCTGCGCTGCATAGTAGCGTGCATGTACCCATGCATGCACAGCATGAAGTACCTTGCGTGGGGGGAAGTCATAGTTAATGAGCAGCCGTGCGCCCAGAGGCGCCTCTCCCCCCCCATGGCCACACGGCAAGCACGCATCTGTCACCACCACCACCGGCACCACCGCTCCCTGGCCCCCCCTCCCTTCCTCCCCCCCGCTCTCCCCTCCCTCATCCCCCCGCTCTGCAACCTCTGCTGCCTGCCCTTCCCCCTCACCCACGCGGCTGTGCAGCAAAGGCGCATGGGTGGGGGGGGACAGGAAGGCAGGGGGTCCATGTGTGGCGTGGGGCCCATGCGAGGGAGGGGCAGCGGACGGCAGCGAGGGGGCAGGGTGGGGGGAAAAGGGCGGGGCGAGGGGCAGAGCGAGGGGTGGGGCGGGGCGGCCTCTGGAGAGAGCGACGGCGGCATGGAAGGCTGCCAGCACTGCCCGGCGCTGGGCGTCCGATTGGTCACTGTGCTGTGCGGGCCGGATAAAGAGAGAGAGAGATAGAGAGAGAGAGAGAGAGAGAGAGAGAGAGAGAGAGAGAGAGAGAGAGAGAGAGAGAGAGAGAGAGAGAGAGAGAGAGAGAGATGTGGAGAGAGATGGATGTGGAGAGAAATGGATGTGGAGAGAAATGGAGACGCTACGAGAGGGCGGTGAATTTTGCAGCTAATGTGCGTGTGCGCGCGACTGCCCACAACGAGAGCTGCAGTTTGGGGTGATTGGGATGGCGGGGACGTAAGAAGGAGGAGGGGAGAGGGGGGGTGGGTGGGAGGACGATGGGGAAGGCAAGGGGAACAACCAGTGGAGGAAGAGGTGGGGAAAGCGGGTGAGGGACGGAGAAAGGGTGGAGGACGAGAGGAGGGCAGGAGCAGTGGCGTGTGAGAGGGCGTACGAGGGAGGCGAGGAGGAAACGGTGGTGGAGAGGCGAGAGAGCAGCGAGCACGTGGTCCAGAGAGTCGCGCGTGCCACAGCAGATCACCACTGATACTGCCGCCACCCGTGGCGCAGCAGTGGGCGCGGAGGAGAGGGATGGGGAGGCGGATGGGGAGGGCGAGGGGGAGGGGGAGGGGGAGGAAGGAGGAATAGGAGGAGGATCGGGGGAGGAGGCAGCGGGGATGGTGCGGCTGATGAGGTGCAGCAGGTCCACGAGTGTTGCCTGTCATGCACAGCCGCACAGCCAGGCAATAGAAGCACGGGGTTAGCGAACCTCGTCAGCCATGCCCATGCCCATGCCGTGCCCATGCCGTGCCCATGCCATGACGCAAAAAATGGATAGATGCCACTCCTCCACACGCCTCTTTCCCCCTCCCACACGCCTCCCTCCCCCCTCCCCCCCAACCTCGCCCTAAGAGGTGGGCGCGCGCACCAGTTTGAAGCGCGGCTGGTCCACGGCCACGTAGTACTGCGTGCCCGCGCCCATGCTGCTCGAGCGCGCGCTCACGCCGCTCCGCGTCTCGCCCCCGTCCTCCGGGGAACGCGATGCAGCGGAGAGCGCGGGACCTTGGTGGGATCTGCAGCGCGGAGCCTTCCGCGCGGAATTCTTTCCGCGGAATGCGCAGCACGGCGGTGAGAACTCAGCGGCGCGCGCGCAGGGGTTAGAACGACCCCGCCACGGAGCGGAGCGGGGCACCGGATACGGGGAACGCGGGGCTCGCGCGGCTGTAACGCGGCTGGCGGGGCGAACGGCGGGAGAACGCAGTGAGCCCTCGACCCGTGACGGCGGGCGCAACAGCGCCGGGCGCGGGGCGGGGCAGCGCGCGGATGAGGCGCAAGGGCAGGGCGGAAGGACAGTGACGCATGGGGGAACGGTGCATGAATCGGTAACAGGTGTTGCGGGTCCAGTGTGATATGATGGGGCCCGCGATCCTCCTTTAGGTGAGGCGAGGTGGATGGTAGATAAGGGAAGCTTGGTTCGATACGCGCGTGCCTCTGAAACCCGGGTTGCGGTTTCACAGATTTCACATAAATCTGAAACACAGATTTCACGGGTGCAGATGATTCGTGGGTTGGGGGGGGGGTTAAGGTTAAGGTTATATATTGATCTTAATCAATGTACAAAGATTAATCCATAGAGCAGTATAGAAACATGGCCGAGATGGCCAGCATCCGCAGCGGAACACACGTTATTCCTTGTCCTCGCGGACAACCGCCAGCTGCCTGGGGAGACGCTCTATGCGATGGACGTCTATGGTGGTCGGAACGGGTTTCCCAAGAGCCAGGAGAATCTTAGGTCGGGGTGAATAGAGGGTGTACCGGTCCTGTCGAAGAGGAGGAAGCAGAGTTTCTGTGCTCGCTTGATGCTGGATGATATACGCTGACGCTTCTTGGCCGATTGGCGTTTGCCTCTCCACATATAAAATTTGAAGGCGATGAGGAACTAGGCTAAGATGAGCTGCAGTATCTCGAAGCTCGAGGAGGATGAGTTGCGGTACCTGTGGTCACAGCGGCTGTTCCACAGCGTCTTGACTGCAGCTCCTACTAGTAAGCTCCATGGGGGGGACTGTCCAACCCGTGACTCTATCGGGAAGAAGATGTGTTCGGCGAGGGGGGTTTGTCCGAGGTGACGGTCAGCGACTGTGCGCAGAGCAAAGATGACGTTTCCGGCGGAGGCGCACTCGAAGAAGATATGCGGCAATGTCTCGACAACAGCAATAGGACACCGGGGGCAAATCCCTCGGTCGTCAAAATATTGGAAGTGTGAGCCAGAGGGAAGGGTTAGTGTGTATAGTCTGAAAAGGATATCCCATTGGCGGCTCGGCTGGTCTTTGAGAAAGGGATCCTTAAGGCCACGGAGAGGGGGAGGAGGAAGTGTGAGGTCACGAGTCCATCGACTCTTGTGAGTAAGCGGCTGTGTGGAGTAGAGGAGACAGCGGATGTCTGAGAAAAGTAGAACGAGAATGAATGACTAAGGAATGGAAGTGATACAAATATGCAACCCTAGAAATGTGTACCCCATATGGGCTACCCCACTATAGCCTACACAATATTATAATTTGACACACCCCCATAGGCACAGTGGGGGAGAACAAAGGGTCACAAGACCAGTCCAGCAAAGCAGAGAAAGCTCAGGGTGGATCACAACGTCACCACACACTCCGAGCACAAGGTCAAGGCCACAAGGCCAGTTCACATGCAGGAGTACACATATATATAAGGCTAAACAAGCAAGAGCAGATATATATATATATATATATATATATAGATGTAAGAGTACAAGCAAGGTCAAGGGGTGAGCAAGTGAGGCAAGACAGGCACAAGACCCAGCTGAGTGCAGAAGCGCTGATGATCACAAGGCGCAAGTGCCTTGGTGAAAACATCAGCAGTGTTGGCCTCAGAGGCAACGTACGCAAGTCGCAACTGACCACGCTGCTGCAACTTACGAGCAAGAAAGTAGCGGAGAGCAATGTGCTTCGTTCTGTGCTCCAGGCGCTGCTCCCTACACAAGGCTAGCATGGCCTTGTTGTCTACGTACAGCACCGGAGGAGAACGAGGCGGCTCTCCGAGGTCAGTCAGCAAGTAGGTAAGCCAGCGAAGCTCCTGTGCAGCCATGGCCCCGGCGTAGATCTCAGCCTCACAACTGGAGCCGAGAACAGAAGACGAGCGAGTAGGCCGCCACGAAACAGAGCCGAAACCAAGGCTGAAGGTGTAACCCTGTGACGACCGCTACGTAGCCTGGTCGTCTGCCCAAGAAGCGTCCGCGTGCCCCGTGAGGACCACTGGACTCCGCCCTCCAAGCACTAGCCCCATGCCCGACGTACTGCACAAGTAGCGCAACACCCTCTTCGCTGCAACCATGTGCTCTGGTCTGTGTCTCCCAGGAGCAACATAGCGTGCAAGAATGCTAAGAGGGTATGCAAGGTCAGGTCGTGTGCAGGTCATCAGGTACATGAGGCAGCCAACAAGCTCTGGGTACGGGCCACTCGACTCTACGGACTCATCCGAAGGCAGAGCTGAGAGCGAGTGGCGAGTAGACAGAGGAGTGGCCTGAGGCGAGGAGTACGTGAAGCCGAAGCGCTGAAGGACCTGCTGCACCATGTGTGACTGAGTCAGGGTAATGGTGCGGCGTGCTCTGTCCCGGGTGATCTGCAAGCCAAGGTAGCTGCGCAGTTCACCCAGGTCTGTGCACGTGTGTCTCTTCTGCAGCTCGGACTTCACGTGGGCGAGTCCAGCAGTGTCAGCTGTGGCAAAGACCAAGTCGTCGACGTACACGAGGATGTAGAACGGCGGCAGAGAGGTGTCGGTGCGCAGAAACAGCGACGGGTAAGCAGTAGAGGGAGCAAACCCAAGAGCCGCAAGTGTAGTCCTCAGTGTGTCGTGCCACTCGCGCGGTGCCTGGCGGAGACCGTAGACTGGCCGTCGGAGGGTCCACTGGGTGCCAGGAGGGAAAGTCCCAGTGAAGCCAGGTGGACGGCGCAACCAGATCTCCTCGTGCAGGCTACCCTGCAGGAAAGCTGTGCTGAAGTCAAGAGAGTGAAGCTCGTAGTTGCGCTGAGCGGCTACGTGTAGCAGCACCCGAAGAGTGGTCATCTTCGGGGTGGGAGAGAAGGTCTGAAAGTAGTCAACCCCCTGCCGCTGACTGAAGCCACGAGCCACGTACCGCGCCTTGAAGACAGGTGGAGAGCCCGGCGGCCGCTTCACCCTGAAGATCCACATGCCACTGACGATGTTCGCCCCAGGCGGGGGAACCGCGTCAACGTAGGTGTTTGTGGACTTCCAGGAAGCCATCTCTGCATCCATAGCTGCCTGCCACTGAGAGGAGTAGGGACCCTCTACGGCCTCCGCGTAAGAGCGCGGAGTCGGGATGTCTAGTGCATCCGGGTCTCCCTCAGGGGTAAGTAGTACGGACGCGAGATGAGGTGAAGCAGCAGCCAGACACTGGAACTCCTCCTGCCTGTCCTCAAGGACGTCCGTGTCAAGAGCACACTCACCCCCGACGGACGGAGGACAGACAAACGCAGACTCAGCAACAGGACTAGCAGCGTAGTCTAGACGACAGCGAGCAGCAAAGTCGACGAGCTCAGCAACAAGAGCAGATGCAGCAGTGGACTCAAAGGAGGGGTCAGTGACGACAGTAGCAAGGAGACGGGTGACAGTAGGACTGGCAGCACGAAGAGAGTCCGACTCAGGGTCGGCAAGCGCAGGAAGAGAGGACTCAGGAGGAGAGGGCAAAGGGGCACGCAGAGGGGCAGTGGACGGACGCAGAGACATCCGGTGCGTGCCAGGGACAGGAGGAGGACGCTGACGCGAACTGCGACCACTAGTGCGAGCAGCACGAACAGGCGATGCAGGACGAGACGCAGGCTCACGACGCTCAGCAAGACCTCCAGTAGGACCAGTGTACGGAGAAGGAGAAGGCAGTGGGGAGGCCGGCGGTAACTGTGACTGCGACTGGACAGGCGGTGGACACTCTAAGGGAGGAGGAAGACCAAGAACCTGCTAAAGGAGCGGAACAAAGTACGGCCGAGGCCGCGCGGCGACTCCTGACACAGCAGGGACAGCACCAGCACCCCCAGCGGCTGCACCAGCGTCAACAGCACCTCCAGCTCCAGCACCTCCAGCAGCACTAGCAGCACCCGCAGTAGGAGAGCCGCCAGGACTGACAGCAGTAGCCTCAGCGCCAACACCCTCAGAAGCTCCGACTCCAGTAGCACTCGCAGGACTAGTACCTCCGAGACCGGCGGCACCAGCACCCTCAGCAGCCGAAGAAGCACCAGCTCCAGTAGTACGCCTCCAGTGCCGGGCAAACCACTCGCGCAGCTCCTGTGGAGAGAGTGGTGTCAGATGATTATATTACTGATGCATATATTTAGGCTGTAGTGGGGTAGCCCATAGGGGGTACAACCCAATTAGGGTTGGTACTTGTACTTGTTTCATTTCATAGTGCACTCATTCCTCGCCTCTATCTCAACATGGTATCGAGCAGGTTCCATAGTGGGAACTGTTCCTAGGGCCCACCTACTATTCCGTCCTGCCCGGAGCGCGCTCTGCCCTAGCCCGAGTCGCGCTGGGCCTTTTTTTTTCCTTTGGCGGCCCGATCGCGTCGAGCCGCCCGCGATTTTTTTTTTTGGCGCGCCACCTAAGCGGCCTCGTCGCGCCGCCCCTAGACGGCCGCGCCGCGTCGCGCGTGCCGCCGTCCAGTCGCGCGCCGCCCTCTCTGACCCTCGCGACGCCGGCGCCGTCTCTGACGGCCCCGCGATCGCGTGCGACGGCCCCGCCGTCCCCTCTACCGGCCCCTCCACTGCACTTGACGGCCCCGCCGTCCCCTCTGCCGGCCCCGCCGCTGCACTTGACGGCCCCGCCGTCCCCTCTGACGGCCCCGCTGTCCCCTCTGCCGGCCGCGCCGCTGCTTCAGACGGCCCCGCCGCTGCACCTGACGGCCCCGCCGTCCCCTCTGACGGCCCCGCCGCTGCACCTAACGGCCCCGCCTTCCCCTCTGACGGCCCCGCCACTGCACCTACCGGCCCCGCCGCTACCCCTGACGGCCCCGCTGCTGCACCTGCCGGCCCCGCCGCCTCATCTGCAGGCCCCGCCGTCTCACCTGCCGGCCCCGCTGCTCTACCTGACGGCCCCGCCGCTTCACCTACCGGCCCCGCCACTACCCCTAACGGCCCCGCAGCTGCATCTCCCGGCCTCGCCGCCCCAGCAACTGCGCCGCCCCAGCAGCCGAGCCGCCCCAGCAGCCGAGTCGCCCCAGCAACCGAGCCGCCCCAGCAGCCGAGCCGCCCCAGCAGCCGAGCCGCCCCAGCAGCCGAGCCGCCCGAGCCGCCCGAGCCGCCGAGCCGCCCGAGCCGCCCAGCAGCCGAGTCGCCGAGCC